CCAGTGCCTCCCCTAATTCCCCAATTCTACTACATATAAACCCCCCCCCTACATCCCCTCCCTTCCTCGCCATAAAAGAAAACGCAAAAAAGAGAGAACAGCAGCAGGTTAGAAAAGAGAGAGAGAATCTAGCTTATGCATGATATAATAGGGATATACTATCCAAATTTAGAACAGAATTTCTTCTCTCTTTTCCTTCTCCTTTCCAATTTAGAGATGATATATGAGACTTTCATACAGTGGGTGACAGGAAATACACAACAACGACAGCGAAAAGAAGGGAGAAGGAGAAGGAAGAAGAAGCCGAGGGAGAAAAGTACAGTGACAGTGAAAGCGACACTAACAATAACAAAAACAGTGACAGTAGCAAGACGAGACGAGACGATTCACAGGTGATCGTTATCACAACAGCAATACTGAAAGACTCCAAACACTATTGCCGCAATCATCCTCGTTTCCATTTCCATTTCCAAGCTAATCCAAAGGCTTCCAAAACACACCACATCCACTCAATACTCCAACCCTCAAAACTCCTCCCCAATCCCAACCCTCAAACTCCAACTTCAACCCCGACCCCGACCCCGACCCCTCACCTTCAATCCCATCCCCCAGAATTATACCCCTCCATCTTCCCTCTCCATCTTCCATCTCATTTTCCATGAACCCCCAGCTCTAATAACCACATACAGCCCAATATCAAATCATCAAATCCTCGCTAACCGTTCTTAAACAATACCATCTACACTAGCACAAGCAGTCTCACTCAAGTCAACGGTCGAGGACAAAAAAGACATGGAGAGCTAGCTATCACCATTTTTACCTCGCTTCGGGGATGGCATTACACTCCCTCTCCTCTCCCTTCACTGACACAACGACACCAAAGTAACCAAAGTAGGTAACAATGAACTGCACTGCATAAAACCCACAGGTCTATAAAATCATCAATTTTATTGCGCATCATCCTATCTCCATCCTATCTTATTGCATCCCCTACCCACCAACCACCCAAGAATTTTTTTACCCTACTACTCATATGTACTGTACAAAGGTTTTCTCTTCACCCTATTATTTTTTCGACACCAGTAAAAAATTGCCCTCGCCGCCATCCTCCGAAACTTATTCTAACCAAAATTTCCTCATTCGGTGAAGCTCGCTTATAAGAGTCTTCACTCCTGTCTTGTACTGAGAAAATCGATGATATATCCATTTCCTTCCTAGCTTTTCTCATCTCTCCCCAGCAAAAATAAGTCAATTGACCTGCTCCAAACGCCATATCGCAAGTCTCGCACCCATCATTAAGGCTCAAGTCAATCGACTGTATGTGTATGTACGTTTCACTACCAGTCCGTCCCAAAATGCCATTTTCAATGCCAAAGAAGAAACGAGTCAAGTTAAAGGTACATAAAAAGCGAGTATCTTACTCGTGGTACGAGAGATGCAAAACAAAGGAAACATTAAACTAAACTAATGAGAGTGACCATCATGGTCTGAATGGTCATGTTGAGGCTCTACTGCCTGTGTCGAACAACATCCCTTTCCCTTGCAATTATCGATACACTCGAGTAAACATGAATCGTCATCCTCCATCCCACATTTTGTTTGAACTTGACCATCTAATCCGACTGAGCCATCAAATATATGGTCATGATGTTTATCAAGACAAAATTCGGGTTGGAGAGTTGCACTGTGGATACCGTGGCCGTGTAAGCATTCTCGAATCTCCTTGGCCAACTGCATATATTTTTCTCCGCCATCTTCTCCAATTGGGAAGGCAACTTGTATGTGCATGGATGCAACAAGTTGGGAGTCGCTAAGTTGCCAAATGTGGACATGATGACAGCCCTTCACAGCCTCGAAATTTTCGATATCTTCTTTGATGAGTGCGACATCGATCGAATCTGGTGTAGCTTGTAGTAAGATTTGAGCGGTAGCCTTGGTTAATGGAATGCAGGATCGAAGAATAATGATGGTAATGAAGAGTGATACAGCAGGATCAGCATATAAACGACCAGGCCAGTTAGTCAACCAGATAATCAAAGCAGTGACAATAACTCCAACATTTCCAAGAGCATCACCAATAACGTGAAGTATCATGGCATTCATTCCCATATCATCATGATTGTGACCATGACCACTAGACTTCTTCTTGGATTTGTTGTTGTGATTATGCGCCGCGTGCTTAGATTGACGACTCGAACGATGTTCATGATGATGGCCTTCGTTGTCGTGATCATGGCTATGAGCATGAGTATCTGCGTGGTGGTCGTGATTGTGCGAAAGAAGAGGACTATTTTCAGTTGGTGCTGGTCCCGATCTGGCATGGATGTCGTCATCTGGTTCACTGGAATCCTCGCTTTCAATTCCGTCCAGTTGTGTCTTGCTTGCAGCGATGATGTCTTGTCGGAAGCTTGCCGGGTGAATGCTTAGGTTATCCAAACTAGAGAATTGGGACTTGCTCGTTCGTCTTCGATGAGAATGTTGTTTGGAACTTCTGCTAGGCGATCTAGTCATGATACTGCTGCTATCGCGAGCTGTCGAAGCATCTTCATCGGGTTTGGTAAATTGTACTTGTCGTTTGGCGGTAGCTTTTGCTACAACAGCTTCGGGGAAAACTTCGCCTGCAATTCCACTTTCTTCAATGACCTCATCTCTGTATGTTTCGTAGTTGCTTTCGTGGGCATGACTGTGACTGTGACTATGCGCATGTCCTTCTTCCGCATCGGCCATTTCGTCATGAGAATGTCCATCTCCTGGGCCATGAGAATGCCCATGTCCACCTAATACGAAAAACCCAGCCAAATTCGATGCCAATCCCAATGATCCAACAATGAGTATAAGTTTTGGTTCACCAATCTCCGGTGGATCGAAGAAACGTCCGACAGCTTCGAGGACAATGGATACGCAAAGCGCAATAAGGAAGACGGCGTTGAAAAAGGCGCCCAGGATTTCTGCTCTTAAAAACTACACAAGTTGTTAGTTTCTAGCCTTGGTAATGTAGCTTTCCGTTCGGTAAAGGTGGGTGTAAATTGTGCGACGACTTACTCCAAAAGAATATTTATCCGTGGTATTTCTTCGCGCAGCTTTAACAGCCCAGAGACCAACTGCGAGAGAGATAATATCGTTCAACTACATACACGTTAGCATCAATACACTTCTTACCCTTTTCTCAGCTACTCACCATATGAAAGGCATCTGCCATTAAAGCCAATGATCCAACCCATAAGCCAACACCCAATTCTACGATGAAAAATACCGCATCGATCAATAGCATGACCAGAATGCGTGTTGACTTTGACCATGCCATCTTGGAAGGATTTGAAGAGTAAGAACTCTTTCTCTCTGTCTGTCTCTTTACCAGTATGTTATTGTTGATGTTGTTGTTGGAAAAAAGAAAAGACAGGAGAAAAGCGTGGGCGTATTTATTGAAGAAGTATTTGTAATCGTACAGCGTAGAGAGTGAGTGAGAGTGAGTGAGTGTAGGAATGAAATGTGGCGTGGCACCCGATGATTTCGAGATGACGCCTCTCTCTCCCTCTCTTCAATAACTTGCAGATATGATTTGTTTTTGGTGACTCGCGACTTTTTTGAGAATTCTTGCTTGGTTGCTTGGTTGCTTGGTTGCTTGCGATTTCGGATCTTTACCAAGTCGTTATCAAATGATTAGGTATGATTTTTGTGTTTTGTGTTTCAGTCTCGTACCAGGTAAAGGGAAGGGATTATTACGCAATTTATCTAATGCGTATCTAATGCGTATCTAATGCGTGTTCCGTACCCAATAGTGTGGTTATGGTATGGCTGATCAATATCAATGAATGCTGGTGTGACTACCGTTGTTCCAGCCGTAATGAATTTTGGTATAAGAAAAAGGGGGAAATACGGTATGAATTACGGCATGAATAATGAATTGGGATTGAGAATGGATATGGAATGGGATGGTAATGGATGAATAACAAGAGAAAAGAAAGATATGACGAGAGTAAGTAAATCAATAAAAGTAACTACTATATACCTAATAGAGTAAATAAAAATAGTAGAATTGATAATGTAAAACTTGAGTGAAGCCTCACTGCCTCAGCACTTTCAAGTATATACACTTGACTGAGAAATGCATGTGATGATAAATCACGTGATTATATATCCCTACCTAATCTTCAATGTTTGTTGTTATTGTCGTGGTAGTGGTGGTCATGGTCATGGTCATGGTCATGGTCATGGTAGTTGCTGTTATTGGAAACCCATCATCGCATTTGTTTCCACGGTATAGTTGTGGCTTAGAATATACAATCAAATCATTATGTCATTGTTCTAGCAAAACAACTGGAATGAGCCGAGTTGATGTCAGCCATCGCCCAGATGAAAACGTGAGACAGTAGTAACAAAATATCACTGAAAGCATCCACAATGTATCAACAGCAATTGAATAGTCATGTATTTATTTGGTGGCAAAGTATGTTTAATGAAGTACAAGTCAAAGTGCTACGAGAGCTGTCATATCAGAGAATGGGTATCTATTCTATACCATGGTTCGCTACTTCTTCCCTTGTATAAACATCGTTAGAAAAGGAACGCCGTGCCGAAAACACTGCTCATCCGGATGCAGGTATTCCCATCACAACATCCGGCACATCATAAATCTTCCGTAGCTTGTGCTATTTTGCTACATATGCAGGTTGAAATTATCCATCAATAATTCCCCATGATCAGTTTCCCATGTACAATAGCATCAACTCTATGGTCACCTAACTCCCGTTGTTCGGCAGTTAGTGCCTAAGAGTAGAACCAACCATACTTCTGTCCTCCCAATATAGTCCAAGCACGTGCAACAGCGGAATGTTCTTGGCCGTTAATATATACGTCCCCGATTCCCCCGATCAACCGAAGTCAGATGGGCAGACTTATAATGATTTGCTTCAAGGAAATAATAGTCCGGAGAGTCCGAAGTAGAGGTCATCTGTCCATCACATTCGATAGTTCAAGGGTCAGCTAATGAGCATCACCACTCAATCAGACTTCAAATATTCTTTTATGATGTCCACAACAATCAAGAGCACAAGGAACGCTAGGAAAATCTGAGTCTAGTCAGTAACGCTCACTTAATGACAATACTGTTGAAATTTACTCACAAAGAAGAATCCAACTCCGATGATAATGACTTCAAATCCTCCTGAAAGAGCTTTACCTCTCACAATTGCATTTTGATGTCTCCAACTTCTGATACTTCCTACCAATAAGGTTATTATTGCAGCACCTTGACATATACAAGCCAGAGGTTTTCCAAGTACAAAGAACCCTATTAATGGATTTGGTGTGGGGGAATGCTGTAATCGGCTGGATATGTATCAATACAATGAGTACGGTATGAATAAACTGCAAAGAAAACATACAATAGTTGTGCAACTGATACGCCTAGCATTGACAAGGCCAGTGAAGTCCTGAGATATGCTAAGAAAGTGCGTTCGAGAGCTGATAGAATTAGCCAATAAGTCCGTCTACGAGACGCTAAACGGGAAACGTGTAGAGCAAACGATCATTTCTATACAGAAGCAAGAACTACTGGGTAGCGACAGTACAGTCTTGGACAGTATAGTATGCCAAGGCTCAATGGAAGATTCTGACAGAAAACTTAATGTAGAGAGGACTGGAAGAAGATGGATAAAAATGAACTCCCAACTAATAGAAGTATTTCGGCCCTGAACGCCGGATTCTATAATAGGTAATATACCTTGTCGTTGATAAATCGCCTGAACCATATTGAGAAACGGATAAAAGGATACATACCGAGATGATCTCTGCATGCAACATGGTCAACGGTCACACTGATTTGGTGTCTCCAAAACTTCGAGACACTAAAAGCCAATTGACCACAAAATCCATTGGGTGCTGTACTACCAGGACCCAATGCATGAGTAGATGAAGCGTGTGTATAATTCTGCCTGATGTGTTCCAATTCTGAGAGTTCAGTAGATTCCCATTGATCTCTTTCTCGTAAGGGTAATTCGAGTGGGTCTTCGGGTTCTCCAATAGATTCATGGTGGTTTGATGTTTCAGCCATTATACTCGGAAGGCGTAAATGCAAGATGATATGCAGATTTCAGAACGATTTATGGTAGTTAAGTTTCACGAACTATAGAGATCTTGCATAGGTGAAAAATAGACAGATTTGGAGAGGAAAGTTTCTGATATGAAAATCGGATTATAGGCAGTTGATATTATACCTGAGAGTTACTGTTAGTCGTGAGTGAGTACATAATCTTGAAGCTGAGAAATAACACAAACTTCTGTCTTTCCGGTGAGAGTACAAGTATCACTTGAGATAAAGCTTGAAGTGTAGAAGAGTATGTAAGAGTACGCTTTAAGATAACAATTGATAATGCCATCGCGGTGTGAGAGTCATGATTCTGATTATCTGGAGCGGGCAGATTTCCGTGTCGTCCGAATAGGTAATGAATAATGGATCTCCACTGCAGCGCTAATTGATAGGGAGAGTCACATGACCTATCATCCATTGCTTCTAGAATTTATCCATAACTGGTTAGTCCAAGCGTTTGCCTCGAGTATTCTCTTTACATTGTAGTTGATTCAACTTCACACACTTTTACAGCCTCGACGTCGGCATATAAAATTCAGAGAACAAAGCTACCATGACATTGAGATCTACACAGAAGTTATCCGTCGTGAGTATCAACACATTTCCGAGTGGTCAATAGAGGTTTCGGATCGTATCTATACATCCCCAAATCTACGATCGTACTTATGGTACAAACGAAAGCTTATTGGAGGCGAATCCGGCCCGTATGTCCGCTTTACTGATGCAGACGCATCTCAACAGAGTATTCATCACCATGGGCTTTCAATGCCGTGTTCTGGGAGCTTTTCGAAGACGTGACAATACCACCTAGGTGAATACACTATATTACCTAGGCGAGATCTCTACATATTGCCTCCCGATATTCATTTCAAGCTGAAATTTTGGCGAGGATGGGTAGTATATGCTCGAGTTGATTGAACTTCCTTCTTTTTTCTTGTTCCACGATGATTTTCTGCATTTTGCCAGTATGGCAAGGCAATTTCCGTTAGTGTCTCTCACGAGAACCATTGCAAGAGCTCGTCTTACCTTCCTAAACTGTAAGAAAATCGCTGAGCCGGTCCGCTCATACCGTTGTTGCTATTGGATTGACGATTGTTTCTTGCCCAAGACTGAGCAAAATTATCAGTGATCTGATAGAAGCTTATTCTCACAAGGGCCAGTCGCACCAACAATCCCTTGCAAGGTATGCAGGTTGTCAGAATAGCACCAGCCTGTAGCAACCATTATACCGAATCCATATTAACTTCCATTTCAGCCATTTTATGCATGGGACAAGTGTATCCATGTTTTATTTGTAATATTCTATAACATCTTATCTGATTCCCTGTGCGGCGCATGGGAAACTCATCCGCAGAGCACCGGCTATGAGGAATATTAATTGAAACCAGCTGATCGGGTGTCGGTCTCTGGAAAGATTGATACCGAGTTTATATGCAATGTAGGTTGCTTCTCGCGTACTACTCTAGCGTTAAGCTCTATAAGACATCTCTTGGTTCCATTCCATCTAGTCATTCTAACTCTTCTTTGATATCCGGAGAATTCATTGTTCATTAGACACGCGGCACAACTCCTCTGCCTCGCCGCACGCTAGCATCATACAATTCTTCATCCATTCGTTGATATCCCAAGAGCACATTACGATACAACTTTCCGTTTTAGTAATCCCCTTTCAATCGTTTAACTGAAACGCCAAAATGGCAGAATCACCAGACAGTCAGATCTCTGATCCTATATTTGATAGGTTCGAAGATGGTTCGGACATCCTCTCGAGTAGAGATACAATTGCAACACCAGATTCCGAAATATCTCCTCCCGAAAGTCCTTTGGAAAAGCATGCTATACTTGATCCTCGAAGAAAATCTCGTCAGTTGGCGGCGTCCTTGTCACTCGAAGAGCAGGTAAGGTTCCTTTGTTTTGTTGGCTGTACCCTACTGATGAACTTCTCAGGTCTCTCTACTAGTGGCTGCAGATTTCTGGAGATCAAAATCAATTCCTTCCAAAGGCGTGCCAGCATTCAAGACATCTGATGGCCCAAATGGTAAATCTTCATGTTCTCTTAAGCATTCATAATCCCTCACATTCGTCCATACAATACAAGATTCCTCCATGCTTTCATCTTGCATTGGTATTAACACCAACTATAGGTGCTCGTGGAGCCGTTTTCAAGGCTGGAACAAAGGTTTGCTCAAGTTACCTCCACTAAGAGGAACTTTCTAACAAATTCAGGCCGCATTGTTTCCATGCGGTATATCACTAGCAGCAACTTGGAACACCGATCTTATCCATGAAGTCGGACAACACCTTGCAGATGAAACAAAAGCTCGATCTGCTCAGGTTTTATTGGCACCGACAGTCTGTTTACATCGCGGTCCATTAGGTGGAAGAAATTTCGAATCTTTCTCGGAAGATCCTTATCTGACAGGAAAACTTGCCATCGCTTATATCAAGGGGTTGCAGGAGAAGGGTATTGCTGCAACAATAAAACGTAAAACCATTTCTCTCTATGGCTTCGTCACGTGCGTTTGGCTAATTGTGTACACAGATTTCGTTGCTAATGAACAGGAGACATTCAGACTAACCATTGATTCTGTTGTGCAAGAGAGGCCTCTGCGAGAGTTATACTTACGACCTTTCGAGATGGCCATTCGAGAAGCTAATCCTTGGGCTGTCATGTCCTCCTATAATTTGATCAATGGCGTTCATGCAGATTGTAATTTCCACACACTAAAAGAAATCTTAAGGGAAGAGTGGAGCTATGATGGGTAACATTGTCTCCAATCTTTTATGACATACAAGTGTACTCACAAAATCCAGTTTGGTTATGTCCGATTGGGGTGGAACGAACTCAATTGCGGAATCCATCGAAGCAGGTTGTGACATAGAAATGCCCGTCTCAACAAAATGGCGTGGCGAAAAAGCGATCGAAGCAATAAAAAATGGTGAACTAAGCCGAGAAGCCGTTGAGAAAGCCGCTGCAAACGTACTATATCTCGTTGAACGGACAAAAGGATCAGATATGACACCCGAAGCCCCCGAAGCTGAGGACAACAGAGAAGAGACTAGAAATTTGATTCGTCAGGCGGGAGTAGAAGGATTAACCCTTCTCAAAAACGAGAATAACATCTTGCCAATCAAATCCTCTCAAACAAAAGTTGCAGTCATAGGACCAAATGCCAATCGCGCGATTGCAGGGGGTGGAGGTAGTGCTAGTTTGAATCCTTACTACAACACTATACCCCTTAATAGCATTAAAGCAATCCGCGGAATAGATGTCACTTACGCCTTAGGTTGTCACACCTACAAATGGCTTCCTCTAGCAGCAGACTACTGTACCACTTCCACCGGCGCCCAAGGCGTAAATCTCGAATTTCACATTGGCGATAAATTCGAAGGAACCCCTCGAATAATCCAACACCGTACCAACACAGATCTCTTCCTTTGGGATTCGGTTCCAGAAGAGGTAAATCCCATCTGGTCCATCCGCGCAAAAACCATCCTGACACCTACCACGACCGGCTTACATACCCTCTCCTTCTCAAGTGTCGGTCCCGGAAGACTTCTTGTAAATGGAGATGTCAAAGTAGATTTGTGGAATTGGACAGATCTAGGTGAAGCTATGTTCTCAGGGTCAAAAGATATTCTCTTTGATATCTTTCTCGAAGCCAATGTCCCAGTAAAATTGGTTGCTGAAACAACAAATGAAATTCGACCATTGTCCAAACAAGCACAAGTAAATCAAACCCATGCAACAGGCGGCTGTCGTATCGGTTACAAAGAAGCGGATGCTGAGAATTATTTGCAAAAAGCTATCGATGCGGCAAAATCCTCTGATGTAGCGATTGTAATCGTGGGATTGGATGCGGAGTGGGAAAGTGAGGGTTATGATCGTCAAACTATGGATTTACCGAGTGATGGTAGTCAGGATCGATTAGTTGATGCAATTGTGGAGGCGAACCCAAATACAATTGTGGTTAATCAGTCTGGAAGCCCTGTAACGATGCCTTGGGCAAAGAAGGTCCCAGCCATTTTACAAGCGTGGTATCAGGGGCAAGAAGCTGGTAATGCATTGGCTGATGTCCTTTTCGGATTCGAAAATCCTAGTGGAAAACTACCTGTAAGTTTTTTGTCCGTTCGACACGTTGCATCTTTCTTTTTTGTTTCTGTCCCTTGCCACGTACTCGAAACTTCATCTAATCATTCCCCGTATAGACAACCTTCCCAGTCCGCCTCTCAGATAACCCAACCTACCACACCTGGCCTGGCGAAAACCTCCGTTCGCTCTATGGCGAGGGCCTCTACATCGGTTATCGCCATTACGATCACCTATCACTTCCCCCTCTCTTTCCTTTCGGTCACGGTCTCTCTTATACAACATTTTCTTACTCTGCTCCTACGCTCTCCTCCCAAACACTCTCTTCCTCAAATCAAGATAGAATCACCCTAAGTCTCAAAATCAAAAACACGGGATCTAGAAAAGGAAAGGAAATAGTACAACTTTATATCCACGATGTGAAGAGCAGCTTAGTCCGACCGGAAAAAGAACTGAAAGGGTTCGCGAAGGTAGAGCTTGAAGCTGGAGAAGAAAAAAGCGTCGATATCGTGATTGATAAATATGCGCTAGGATACTGGGATGAATCGTTGAGAAATGGGAAAGGGCTATGGATTGCCGAGGAGGGCGAGTTTGAGGCTTGGGTTGGTGCTAGTGCGGAAGATATCAGGTAAGTGGACCTTTTTTTTTGCTTATGTCGTTGTTTGGAGTGTTTTGGAATGCGCGTGCTAATGATGTTCTATTTATTTGTAGACAAAAAACCACGTTCGAAGTCAAGGAGTCTTTTACTTGGATTTTTTAATTGGGTTGGGTCAGATAGGACGGGGAGATATGCAAGGGAAGTGTGACAGAGGAGGAAGGAAGGAAATCTACAATTAGTAGAATGACTGGAGAAGAAGTCGGAAGAAAGCAATGACGGATGACTGGAAAGGGTGTTTTTTCCTACTTTATTCCCAGATTTTATGCATGCAATAAATTGCGCATACGGATTCAATCGGCATTTCCTTCAACCCCAATTCAATTAATGACTGACGCCACGTCTCGCATTTCTCAATAACTGTGTTTCTATGAATCTTCCTGTTTATGTACTTGCTTGCTTGCACTGTCTACCTTTATACTTATACCTATATCTCACAGTTCGTAGTTCATAGTTCATAGTTCACACAATAAGTATCCATAAACATGGGTACGCAGAAATACATGAATCTTTCCTCAATCGAATACACCTAGCCCGAGAATTTATCATGTGAAAGATTGGATAAATGGCCTGCTAGTCTGTGTTACTAGTACCACTGCTATATTTCTGAATATTGTCCCTCATCATCTCCAACGCGGTCGCCCTGGGAAATTTTTCTTCAACGATTCTCACCATTTCTTCCGTAACTCTCAAGTTTTTCTCCTTGCTTTTTGAATAAAAGCGCCAGAAATTCTTTCGAAAACTCCGTTTCACTTATAATAATCCTCACCGTTTCTTCTGTGACACCATATCTGCTCTTCGCTTCTCAAATAATCCCATCATCATCCAACAATGCGATCGCAACATCCAGCCTGAACTCCTTATCTTTTCTTGTTTTTCTGACACTGTTTTCATGACCTCCGGTGTGATATTGATATCTGCTCCTCTCTTTTCAAGTAATAGTGGAATGATTCTTGGCCCTTGATGTATATTCCTTATTGCTGCAATCACATTTTTCTCTGTAATGATTATATTCGCCTTTTATTCTGCAAATAATCCTCGAAGAATTAGGAGATCCCCATGATCTATATTCTTCACTACAGCGAGTACGATTTTCTCTCTCATAACTAGATCCGCCCCTTGTTGTGCAAATGACTCTCTAATAATTGTTCCCCTATGGTCTATATTCCCCATTGCAGCAATCACCATTTTCTCTGCAAGGACTATATTCGCCCCTCTTGCTAATAATTCTCTAACAATTGTACCGCCCTGGCTTATACTCCCTACTGCAGTAATCATGATTTCCTCTGTAATACATATATTCGCCCCTTGTTTTGCGAATAGCTTTCTGATAATATATTCCCGGCTGCTGTGATTATTGTCTCTTCTGCAATGGCTATATTCGCTCCATGTTTTTTGAGTATTGAATGCATCATCACAAGAGTATGCGGATAATGCATTCGCGCTACAGTTGCCCACAATCCGCTATCAACATATATATCCGCACCTCTTCCATCGAGCAGCATATCAATCTGTTCAACAGCTTCCCGTCGTTTCGCGACCGCCTTCAACAATTCGCTTGTAATCTTCACATCAGCCCTGCGTTTCTGTATCAACGACTTCATTGCATTCCGGCCACAATTCTTGGAGATGAACTGTACCATATCTTCTGTCATCTCGCTGTCCATTCCTCTTTCTTCCAATGGGATAAGGATCTTTCCATCGCCTCTTATAGGTTTGGATATGGCCTTCACTAAATCTTTTGTGAACTGAAACACTATCTCTTTCGAGGCCGAGCAGAAGTTTGAACATTCTTTCGTCGAGGTACTCTGCTGCTTGTACCATGGCCCTTTCTTCAATTCGACTATTACTTTTGATTGCTTCCAACAATTCTGTCCTAAACCCCCGCCACTGTTCGGCTCTGGGCGGCCTGGAAAGGACTTCTTCGTCTATATAAGCCTTTGCAAGTTCCATCTTACCATTTAAGATATCTTGATGGCATTTGCCTTGGAAATCTTGTCTGGTCCTTATCACCTCCAAGAGCAGGTTTTCAGCCACCTTCCACCGATTAGAGCCTCAGTATACTGACGCGAGTGCCTCTTATAATGACAAGATACGTATATCGTCTATTGCAAGCTATTCCTCGCATTTTTCGATATCTTTTTAAAGCTTAGCTTCTGCCACAAGAAGGTCCCCAGTGTCTTTTAGAATCATTGCCACTTCGAATGATCTCATTGCTTTGATCGTATTGGTCTTCAGATAGTCCGGAACTACAGAATTGATCTCCATTTGTGACAATTGAAGTGACGAAGAATGCTGTCCCGGAATCAATCCCCATTGCCACACAAGTAGAAATTCATGTGAGTGATCAGGTATCGAAGACATAAACAATTGAAACGGGCGATGTTTATGTGTTTGTTGGCGTGGATTGACTGTAATCATGATGATACCAAAATGGTGTTCAAATGCTCTAATAACAGTTGGCTTTGAAGCTCCTTCTAGAAGGCAAACAATATCATTTTTTTTTCGAATGGATTCTGCAGAAGCTTGGAGTGTCCAATGTGCCCCATAATTCTTGTAGTACTGAAAAAAAAAATTGGTCTGTTATTGAATGTGACTTCTATGTACTGTCCAGGATATCGATTTATGCCATTCCTTATCGAGGAAACATGCCCTAGAACATAACCACTATTCTTGATTACCGCCGCTTCCCTATCATCCCAAGCCTCTCTAGACGACATACTTTGGTGAAGGATGAAATTGACAAGCCGTCGAAGAAGTATCTCCCATGGAATCGTGTAATCGGGTAATAATCCAGTCGAGATCAAATTATCAGAGCACATGCCAAATAAGGCATACACCTTGTCGTGATGTGCTGTGGCCTTGTGGTTGTGATACATATCGATCAGCTCACCTAGAGAGAGATCGCCTAGTGGACTTGAGATATACTTTGGACGGAAAATTGATCCTCTTATCAAGCAAATCGTTGGACAGATCAAACTTTGTAAATCCGAATAATCTTCGAGTAAACTTTCCAGTTTGCTAACACCCGAGCAGAACGTATACCCGTTTACCTCCACTGCACCACAGATAATTAGGATAGTTCGAGCCAAGCCGACCTCCTGGAGAACCTACAAATTTTCCTGTTAGCTTCTTCGAGTATTCCTTCGTAGTGAGAGTTTCCCACAACTGGAGTCCCTCGATGCTTTTCAATGGGTTTTTATATGATTAAACCACTTTCGAAAATCAGACCACTCAGAAAATTGAAAAGATCTCAGATATATAACTAATTTGGAAAATCTAAATCAATTGGGATCTCGGGTTGACTCGGGGCACTCAAAATATTTGGAATGTTGAGACTGTTGGAATAATTCAGTACATTCAATCAAACACCTTGGAAGAATGGGAGCTTCCTTGGGTAGTTCGCTACTCTCAGCTTCCACTTTCAAATATACCGTCACTTGTAAACTTACACACCCAGATGCGCTGAAATCATGGTATTTTAAGCAATTTGAGGATTGACTCTTGATTCCTTTTGCTGGCCAACGAATTTCTGGCTTTTCGTTCTCATCATCTGCTGCAACTCGTATTGAGAGCCATATCACTATCATCTGCAGCTTCTCCGAAATAAGCAATGACTCGGGTGGCTTGGCCATAGATCCTCGGCATCAATTGAATCTGGAGACCTTTCTCTTGATCATCTGGCTGATTGATGCAGAGAGCATCTACCCATGTGACTCGATCAAGGGTGTGATTTCGAAGATGTAGCAAGGCTGCATGCAGATTCGCTGTGATGGGGAGGGAATTCCCATTTATATAGATACACTATGGAGGATCATCGAAGCCACCCCATACGTACGACAAAGCTCCGTATAAATGGGCTTCCTTGTCCGACTCTTGGAGAGAATAGTTGTGAAGTTGGCCTTGTAGAGCAGCGGTTTCGTCTCTATTGGGCATGAGAGAAAGGAGGCGAATAGTGCTCGAATCAAGCTGAGGTAAGCTAGCATAGCTGAACGGAGGCATGCTAAAGGTGAGCCTTTGAGACCAAAGAGCTGGTCTCTATTTATTAGTCGTGAAAGTAGGATGTAGCAAATGTTATCTTTCGAATGTGAGCAAGGCTGTGACTGTAAAAGCAGACGTCGCAGATAGCAGCCTAATCCTGAGGCAGGCTAAATGCGATAGATAGTACATAGTCCAATTAGTCGAAGGTCATGGTTCATTGAGCCTCTTGATTTTGATCGGGTAGATAGCTAGCTGACCGAGTTCGCTCTTGTGGGTTGAATATGGTGCATAATGCTAGGTAGAGAACGGGATGGAATAAGGAACAAGAGAATATAGTAGATTATGGAAGAACATTGAGTATTGAACACTGGCATATTCGTAGTAATGCCATGTCATGGAACATGTCCCTGTCTTTTTGATGCCTTGGATGACTTAGATGACTTAATTATTGAGACCAGTTCTTATCGAAATTCGGATTGCCCAAGCTGGAATTGAGATGACATAATCATGAGGTACGGTCTGGCGGTCCTGGACGGGAAGGAGCGCGGGGTAGTTATTAGTTACCCGTCAGCCATGAGCCATTACCATTACCTACGAGGTAATTAGTAGCTACGAGCTACTACCATTACTTATGAGGTAGGAGCCATGAGCCGTCAGCCTTTCGCCTTCAGAGCATCTTTTACCTTTCCATTCAACACAATCAAATTATACATAATCCATATAATTCATATAATTCATGTAACCGTAATACTGGTACGGACATTCACTAGTACCAGTAAAGGATAACAAATACACCTCGCCACCTCAAACGAAGCTAAATCAATCCCCCACTACAATTCAAGTCCCTGTCATGAATTTGGATCGAATGGGAAATCAAATCCGATATTCATCTGGGAACCCTATTCAATGCTTGTGCTTGCTGATCTAATACGTACCCAGGAACCCAGGAATATGAGGGGACCTTTTAGAAGATACCCTTCACACCTAGATTCGATTGAGATGTGATAGACAAGCTACTAGATAGGTACTACAGTAGAACTTGACTCTACCGGTCTGGGATATATCGGAATCTTGAATATATTAGAAAAACTTCCTGATTTGATTACTTTTTATATAATGATATCGGATTTTGAGCAAGACTAAAATATCAGATTGATTTTTTACACATTTAATATAAGTTTTAGTAATAGAATTTAAGCTTTTTTTAATATAGATAAATTTAGTTGATTATTATTATAAATTTTGTAGAAAAAAAAAGCTTGAAGCTAAAATCGAATATAAATCTTAACTATTTATATTTGAATTACTATTATTTATACCGGAATCTTCTCTATACCGGATTTGATTAATCGAATTTTCCAGTCCGATATAATTGCTATTTCTCTACAGGATCATTAATACACATCTCGACTCAAAATCCTAGATTCTTTTCCACATAATATTAATCAAAATAAACACCCGACCGATCAGCGCTGTGGACCCCTCTTTAGTACTGAGTGGGTAGCCCCTCTTGACCCTCTTCGCCCCTCTCCCCTTTGAGACCCTTCCGGCGACTAAAAAAAAATCGATTTCTTCATGCTTGCATGCGGCAATTCCAAATGCTCTCCGGTAGTAGGGGTAGGTATGTTCCGCACACTACTGAAGCCCATTTTCACGTTGGTGAACAGAAGGGATAGGAGTTTTCGTATCGTTATATCGAGTTTGATCATAGCGTAAAGGCTATCTTAGGTATTATCGAGAGACGGGGAGACGGAGAGGCTGACTGGGAGACGGAGAGACTGACTGAGAGACTTAAGCGACTGGGCTGAGAGGCTGATAGCTTCTACAGACTCGAGAAGGGTCAAGGAACACGAGCGATTACACCACACATACAGGTGCATGCATACCCACACACATACATCCGCTCATCACTCGCAATGACTTGTTGGCATGGCCACCCACTATACAATGAAAAAAAAGGATCTGATAATCAAACCTTATTAAACCTTGACTGATTTTCTCAAAAAGCGATATTGCCGAGGTAGGTATGTGCATGTATGTATTCGTACATGTTCAACAGCTGCTTGACTGACTACATACAGAGTGAGGGAGTATATGTGACAGGATTCAGTGTGATTGCAAAGTTCTTGATCTAGAATCTAGATTGTCTGTCTCGGCGTCTAGGCTGTCTCGGTGCATACTAGGTCGGTGGGTAATCATTTATTGCTTCACTCTTTATCATCAACCTTCACTTCAATCGGACTTGAGATTATCAACTTCAGACTTCACTCAGATAGAACTCAGAGTAATATAGACCCAAATTATATGTACTCAACACAAGGATAGACAACACATCTCAATCGATAACAGGGCAAAATGTATATTACTCGCGCAAATGAAGATTATCAACCGCCCTAAAATGTTTGACTCCATATCTCTTTCTCGGCTATTTTTTTCCTTCTGTTCCAAATGCTTCTAGTCTGAAGTCTAGGTCGACCAAAATGCATCAAGCTTGCTTTAACGCCGTTTTAGTCCATTTGCACAATCCGGATTCAGCCATCCAACCACCCAGCGAACAAACTCAAATATGAAATTTTGTTTCCTTTTTCCTCCTTGATCAAATGAATTTACCTATCAATATAATCTACCCGTCTTTGCGCATATCATCCTGTCGAAACCAACCCTACACCCAGGTACGTACCTGATCGTGTGCACGCTTGAATCAATTGATAATCAGTCTCAGATTGACGTGGCGACAGCCTCTAAATTTCCATCCTACTACGTACCATTGTCAACAAAATGACGTCTTGGCGGCGTTAAACCACGAAGCATTTGCGAAGAGTGAATACTTACACTCGACGACAATATCGAATGGGATCGCGAGACTGGGGGAAGTTTGGATATCTTTTACATATACAAATCACAAACAAATATTGCGCCGACTTCCTATACAGCCATGGCTGTCGACAAGCGCCCAACCCATATCAAGCTCCCTCCTCCTCAGGTATCGCCCAATGAAACCGAGAACGGTACCCCGAATTCAGACTATGAGCGACCGATATCACCTTTACATATGCCTCCTGGGCAAATTGATGGATTGGATGCTTTAAAAGCCCAGGAATACATGAATGGGCGACGGGGATCCAGTCAGAGTAGCAATTTGCATCTACACATACCGGGAATGGTTTCACCCGCTGATGTAGCATTTTCGGCTATGCACTATCTGCCGTACCCTGTACTTGTCTTGAATGGCTCCAAAACAGTGGTACTCGCGAATGAAGCCACGGCGAGGCTGCTGAGTGTAAATGATGGCGAAATTGAAGCAGAAGATGATCAACAACCGGCGGAGCGATACAAAGGACAAACTCTTGCCCAACTGGGTATTGACATGATGTCAGATCTCAAGCCGGTATGGGTGACTTGGGAGCTGTTCTTGGATAGTCTGGGCGACGAAATCAATGTCCATGCCAATGCACAAGAAACGGTGTCTTCGGAATGTGAAGGAGATGTGACACCGACTGCAGAAAGAGCCGATCCTCAGAATCGGTTTGCGGCGAACGCTGAGAAGAAGACTTCCACGGTTCATGATGCGGTAGTGGAAGTTGTCATCACAGCTGGGTCGATCACAGCATCCACTTTTGCAGGACGGACGGCTAAGAAAATGGCAGATAGACGTAAGTATGCTTGTGACATTTTTGCTTCATACATTGAGGTGTATTTTCGGACTCCTTCTGAAGACCATTTCACTGCTCGATATTTAAACACGACGATCGGATGTTGGCTTTGATGTTCAATACTTTCTCGTACACTTTGAGAAAAAGTGACATATCAGTACAATCAGCTCAGAAACATTCTTCTTCTATTCCCCAATTCATTGCGATCACCACGCCGTAAGAGGGCAATCAAGCTAACATGATGCAGATTCCTATGCCAAGATGATCATTAGTATCTTCGAGATCGAAGATGAGAAATACTTCCTATTGACCTTCACAAGTACAGAAACCAATCAGTCTGGGCTACCCAGCCCGAAAAGGAGCTCGAGAAAGATTCACAACCCCAAGTTTAAATTAGGTTCTAGCGATGGCTCCAAATCTTCGAGCTCTATATCACGTTCAAACCCGTCATCTGCAAGCTCTGAACATGGTTCCAATCATGATTCAAGTCAGGGGTCTAGCGGCTCCTCTGCGATTACTAGTCCTACAAATGCACCCATGTCATCTTCTCCATTTCCACCTCTGGGTCCTCCATCTCGTGTCAATAAATCAGGAGCCCCATCAATCCTACAGAAGGTAATCGTGTTGAAAGATGCACTGTTGGACAATACAGAAGTTCCTATCTTAGCCATGTGGAAGGATGAAAGTTTGACGATACCGAATAAAGCTGCAAGGAGACTGTTTGCGAGAGAAGCCGACATGACAAACGTTAAAACCGGTATGATTGTGCAATTCTTGATAATCTAGTAGCAATGCTAATAATTCCATAGGATTTGATTTGGTTCAGAAGTGGCATTGCTATAATCATGATTTTACGGAAGCTCTAGATCCGTCAGAATATCCCATTTCGATTCTCGTCAGAACACAAACACCATTTTCTAGCCGCTTGCTTGGGATGTATGACCCTGATACTGGGGAGAAGATTCTATATGATTGTTTAGGTATGAAGAGGCCCTCGAGAATAACACGAAATAGAGCTGACCCTTTGTGCAGGAGAAGCAGTTCGAGATCCAGATACCGGCGAGTTTTTGGCTGGTATTGTTACTTGTAGGGATATCACGGCTGTGACACAACAGATCGCCGAAATAAAAGAGGCCGATGAGCAGAGATTCCAAATAATTTGTGATAGTATGCCGCAGCTCATTTGGACCACCACTCCCGATGGCATGCATGATTGGTTTAGTCAGCGTTGGTATGATTACACGGGCTTAACCGTTGAAGAATCTCTAGGGGAGGGTTGGAAATTGCCATTCCATCCAGATGACATGGCGTTGACAAAGAAGCGCTGGCTGCATTGTCTAGAGACTGGCGATCCTTACACCACCGAAT